CCGCTGCGCCGGCCGGCTGCCTTCCGGCCGCGCCTGCCGTCGACGCTGCCGGCGCGGGACGAGCCGAGCCCGAACTGCGCAGCGCCGCGCGCCAGGTGATCGAGGACGTGACGGCGCGCACTTTTGGCGCGCCGTTCGAACGAGCCGCGCGGCACGTCGGCGCGCGCGATCATCAGTGTGGCGCCGGCGTTCGGGCGCGCCACGCCCGACGCGGCGGCCGAGGCGCGCGCCGCCGAGATTGATGCGCACCTGGTGCGGCTCCAGACGGAGCAGCCGTTCGTGCTGGAGGACTTAAATGAGGAGACGGTCACCGAACGGTCGGGCGCCAGGTTCGGCGGAGGTGGAGTTACGATCAGGCCCGGGTTCAGCCGTGACGGGTTCACTGAAAGGCCCGAGTTCAGCAGCGATGGATTCACAGACCCGACGATCTCAGAGTTCAACGACGGCTCGTTCACCGAGAGGCCCAGCTCTGGCTTCGACAAGCGGCAGCTTCAGCGGCGCTGGCTTCCACGGACAGATCGGACACTGGGCTCGTCAGTGACGAGTTCAGCGTCGGAGTGGACGCCGGCTCCATTGGCGATGGCTTCACTGAGCGGTCGGACGCTGGAACCACGACGCCGTTCGTGATTCGCCGCCAGGTGGTGCGGTTCGTGCCGGTGGGTTCGCAGACGCTCGCCGCCGCCCCCACCACACCGGCGCCGGCGCCGTCGAGTCCCGTCACCACGCCGTTCGCCGCACCGAGCTTCGACCGGCGCCGCCGGGTCCGCATCAAACCGGCGCATCATCAACGGCGCCGCGCCGGAGCCGGAGCCGGCTCCGACCGCAGCCCCGGTCCGGGAGCCGGAGCCGGTCCGGGAGCCGGAGCAGACTGGCGGCGGGCGGGCGGCTCGGCGACGACCGCAGCGGGTGCGCATCAGCGCGCGTCGCCGGCCGGAGCCGGCGTCCGAGCTGCTGCAGTCGGAGGAGTCGGTGCGCAGCAGTGTGGTGAGCACCGGCCGGCAGCGGGTCGGCGCACAGCTGCTCTCGCCGCCCGCCGGCGCCAGGCGGCGGCCGGAGCGGCCTGACCGACTGAGGAGCGACTCCCCGGCGACGGAGGTCGCGCCGGTCCTGCCGACCGAGGCGGCGCTGCCGGAGGCGAGCACGGAGCCGGCCGACGGTGAGATCGCGCCGACGGAGCCGGCCGCCGCGGCGACCGTCCCCAGCGAGGTGGCGACCGAGGGGCAGACGGCACCGCCGACGGAGCAGCCGGTGACCTCCACAGAGCACCTGGCCACCAGCGGCCACCGCGACACTACCACCACCACTGCTACCACCACCACTACCGCTTCCACCACCATCACCACCACCACTGCTACCACCACCACTACCACCGGCAGCCCCGACTACCTTGCGTACGACTATGACGACGACTACTACTACGACGACGAGTACGTGCGTAGCTTGGCGGCCGACCTGCCGGCCGGCAGCAGTCTTCCCGCCGACCTGGCGGCGGAGGTCGGCGCCTCCGACCCCGCCGGCGGCGCCTCCGACCCCGCCGGCGGCGCGGCCGACCCCGACGACGGCGGCCCGTTTGCCAGCAGCAGTCGGTTCACGCAGCGTCGGCCACTGTCCCTGAGCAACGAGCTGTCCGACGAGGAGGCGACGGCGACGGAGCCGGAGCAGACCTCTCTGGCGGCAGAAGAGCCGGCGGCAGCGGCGGCGGCGGCGGTGATGGCGGGACACCCAGGCCCAACGACCGACCCGAAGGCCTTCTGGACCGGCCCGCTCACCAGCGCCTCCGAGGTGCTGGACGGCAAGGCTCAGCAGGAGCTGAGCGGTCACCTGAGTACGGGACGGCTGAACGGCTACAACGGCGCCTACGTGGACGAGTTCGGTCGGGTCGCGTGTAGGGATGTCGGCATCTTCGCTCACCCCAGGTCAGTGGAGGTCGATGGCGGCGGTGGGAGGCAGCGTGGCTCCAGGCGGCGCCGCAACCACGCTGGTTTTCGGCGAGCGATCCGTTGCGGGTGCTCTGGGAGGGTTAAAGTGCGGAGTAATAGGCTCTCAATTGTTCGCGGTCGGTGCGATACGCACCGAAATCTACCAATTGTGGCGATAAAAAAGCGAATGTGTAAATTTTCAT